GACTTCATGACTAAAACACCAAAAGCGTTGACATCAAATGAAAAAGTAGACAAATGGGATCTAATTAAACTCCAGAGATTCTTCACAGCAAAAGAAACGATCATTAGAGTGAACCGGCAACCCCCAGAATGGGAACAAATTTTTGCAATCTACCCATCTGACAAAGGGCTAATATCCAGAATCTACAAAGAACTAAAACAGATTTACAAGAAAAACACAAACCCATTCAACAGTGGGTGAAGGATATGAACAGACACTTTTCAAAAGAAGACATATATGAGGTCAACAAATGAAAAAAATGCTCATCATCACTGGTCATTAGAGAAATACAAACGAAAACCACATTGAGATACCATCTCACACCAGTTAGAATGGCGATCATTAAAAAATCTAGAGACAACAGATGCTGGAGAGGATGTGGAGAAATAGGAACACTTTTACACTGTTGGTGGGAGTGTAAATTAGTTCACTGTGGAGGACAGTGTGGCGATTCCTCAAGGACCTAGAACTAGAAATTCCATTTGACCCAGCAATCCCACTACTGGGTATATATTCCAAGGGATTATAAATCGTTCTGTTATAAAGACACATGTGCACGTATGTTTATTGTGGCACTGTTTACAATAGCAAAGACCTGGAACCAACCCAGATGCCCATCAATCATAGACTGGACAGGGAAAATGTGGCACATATACACCATGGAATACTATGCAGCCATATAAAATGATGAGTCCATGTCCTTTGTAGGGACATGGATGAACCTGGAAACCATCATTCTCAGCAAACTGACACAAGAACAGAATATCAAACACCACATGTTCTCACTCATAGGCTGGTGTTTAACAATGAGAACACATGGACACAGGGAGGGGAGCATCACACACTGGGGTATGTTGGCAGGGACTAGGGGAGGGACTGGTGGGTAGGGAGTTGAGGAGGGATAACATGGGGAGAAAGTCCAGATATAGGTGATGGGGATGGAGGCAGTAAACCACATTGCCATGTATGTACCTATGCAACAATCCTGCATGTTCTTCACATGTACCCCAGAACCTAAAGTGCAATAAAATATATATGTATATATAAAAAAAAGACTTAAAAATGGTTATAATAGTACATTTTGTGTTTATTAGAGTTTTGTGTATTTTGCTTTAATTAAAAAACCTATATGCCTGATAACTAGAGAAAAGTAAATATAAAATGAGGAGACTTCATTATCTTTAAGGATACTATGAGAGTTTATTAAAACTAAGTTATCTAAAATTATGCTGAGAATAATTCTTCTTTTGTAGTCCTCCTACTTTTAAAAAACTTATTTTTGGAGTAATTTTAGTCCCAAAAATGAGTAAAAGGTACAGCTATTCCTCATACACCCATTTATCCATTTTCCTGTTACTTACATCTTGCATCAATGTGGTACATTTAGTAGAACTGATGAATCATTATTGATACATGATGATTATTAAGTGCTTAGTTTACATTAGGCTTCACACTTTGTTGTACATTCTGTGTGTTTTGACAAATATGTAGTGAAGTGACATATCTACCACTACAGTATTACACAAAATAGCTTCAGTGCCCTGTAACTCCCCTGTGCTCTGTTTGTTCTTTCAACTAGGAATGTGTTAAATCTATAGATTAAGTTGGGAAGAGCTGACATCTTGACAGTATTGAGCTTTCTATTCATATATGTGGAATATCTCTTCATTTATTTAGATCTTGATTTCTTTCATCAGAGTTTTGTAGTTTTTCTCTTGTACATGTTTTGTTAGATATAAATATTTCTTTCGGCCATGCTAATGTAAATTATATTGTGCTTTTAATTTCAAACTCCACTTGTTCATTGCTAGTTTACAAGAAAGTGGTTGCCTTTGGTATATTAACCTTGTATTTTGCAGTCTTGCTATAATTGCTTATTACTTTCAGTCGTTTTGTTGCTAGTTCTTTGGGATTTTCTACACAGGCAATGAGGTCCTTTGTGAACAAAGACAGTTTTATTTCTTCCTTCCCAATCAGTATACCTGTTATTTCCTTTTTCTGTCTTATCTTGTTAGCTAAGACTTCTAGAACAATGTTTAAAATAAGCAATGAGAGGGAACATTTTTGCCATGTTTCTGATTTTAGCAGGAAAAGCATCTCATTTCTCACCATTAACTGCGATGTTACCTGAAACTGTTTTTGTAGATGTTCTTTATCAAGATGAGAATATTTCCCTTTATTCCTAGTTTGCTAAGGGTTTTTATCATGAATATGTGTTGGATTTTCTCAAATGCTTTTTGTGAATCAATTGATACAATTTTAAATTAGCCTGTTGATATGTTCGAGTATATTAATTTTCAAATGTTGAATCAGTTTTGCATACCTAGAATAGATTCCACTTGATCATAAGTTCATAATTCTTTTAATACATTGTAGGATTTGATACTGATATTGCTGATACTGAGGAATTTTGTGTATGTGTTTATGGGAGACATTGGTTTGTAGTTTTATTTATAATGTCTTTGGTTTTGGTATTAAGGAGATACTGGCCTCATAGACTAAGTTAGGAAGTTGTTCCCACTCTTCTATCTTCTAGAAGATTGTGACGAATTGGCATAATTTCTTTCTTAAATATTTGATAGAATTCACCAGTGAACTCTTATCTGGTGTTTTGGTAGCATATCAAATATTCCTTCCATTTCTTTAATAGATAAAGGCCTAGTGAGATGATCTGTTTCTGTTTGCGTAAGTTTTGTTAGATTGTGTCTTTCGAGGAATTGGTCCATTTCATCTAGCCTATCAAATTTGTGGGCATGGAGTTCATAATACTGACTTATCATTTTTATGTCTGTGTGATCAGCAGTGATGGCCCTTCTTTCATATCTGATAGTAATTTCTGTTTTTTTCTTCTTAACTGGATTAAAGGTTTATCATGACTTCTCTTTTTTTAGTCTTTTACTCTCATGCGTAGAAATGTAGACATTTTTTAAAATATACAGTTCTGTTAAAATATTTATTTTGGGTTATTTTAATGCCTAACAAAGCTCAAACTTACTAAATAATTGACTTTTTATTTCCCTTTGTAGGTATAAATAGAACCAGATTTATCTTAAAAGTTTTTTTCGGCCTTTATTTTTCCTTTGAAGGTTAACTGGTAACATTTAAAAATAACATAATTTTTTTTTCAGAGAGAAAAGTCAAAAGGGAAAGAATTTACTGATGCAGCAGAATCCTTGATAAGCCAAATAAATAAAAAATACAAAACAAAACATGACATAAAGTCTACAAGAAAATTAAAGGAGTCTTTGACTAACAGGTGTGTTCTTAAATTTCAGACATGAATATTTTTCTAACATACAACTATGTTATTTTACACAACTTAAAAGTTAATTTTAAACATAGGTTCAAACAATGTAACTTTTCAGTAGAAAACGTGGTTACTTAATACTTTTGTAAACAGTAGGTGTTTAAATTACACAGGAAGGGAACTAAATTTGAAATTTGTCATTCTATTGTCCAGTTACTTTTTATATAGGATCAAAAAACATGTATCAACACAACATACTATTTTAGAAATCTTTAGGATACAGACATTTTAGAATTATACTTACTGAATCTAGTAATGAATAAACTAAATATGTTTAAGTATATTGCTTAATAAATTACAAAAATTAACCAGATGTGAGAGTTTTTTGTAGTAAATAGTACATTCTTTGCAGTATTTCTAAAGATTAATTCTGTTTTTATTACAAAATGTCCATTTATAGACTGTCAGGTTGTTAATTAAAATTTAAGTTAATTTTAGTCTTACTATATAGGTTATGAATAAATGACTTTTATGGCAGAATCATTCGTTTTAAATTCGCACTTTCTGCTGCATTAATTATTCAGCTTTGAATGATCTATTATAGGTTCTATTTACTGTGAATGAAGTTACAAAAAATCAGACTATTACTGTTACATTGAATATAAATTTAGTGACATAACTTTGGTTTATATAAAATGACTTATGAAAAAATTCTATTGATAATTGCATCCTCAATTTTGACAAAATCTTTTTTTTACAGTGGTTTTTCAAACAAACCTGTTGTTCAACTTAGTAAGGTAGGTGTCCTTTACTTAACTTCACCAGATCTGTAGTCAAACTCAGTATTTGACCATAAACACTAAAACAGCATAGTGGTAAAATGGAATTTGATATGACATTTTCAGAATATTGCTAAATGAATGATAACCACTAACAGGTTTAGTAGCAAGTATTCAAAATCACTCTCTAACCTTCTGTTTTTCAAAGAAAATGCTTCTTTTACATATATGAGCACAGTGTTTTTACTTTTTGGTACATGATTCAGTATATCTTTCGTGTGTGTGTGTGTGTGTATTTTTTAAATAGCTGGATCCCATCTCTCCTAACAATTAGATCCTACCGAAGTTCCAGTTTTGTTTTGTTTTTTTATTTAAGAAAAAAAAAAACAAAAAAAACAAAAAAACTTTTACTCTTTATCTAGACTGATGATATAAATTATCTTTTTTGTTCATTATACTTATGGGGTACATGTGCAGAGTGCAGGTTTGTTACATAGGTATACATGTACCATGGTGGTTTGCTGCATCCATCCCCTCATCATCTACATTAGGTATTTCTCCTAATGTTGTCCCTCTCCAATCCCCCAACTCCCTGCTATCCCTCCCAAATGCCAATCAATGATAGACTGGATAAAGAAAATGTGGCACATATACACCATGGAATACTATGCAGCCATAAAAATGATGAGTTCATGTCCTTTGCAGGGACATGGATGAATCTGGAAACCATCATTCTCAGCAAACTGATACAAGAACAGAAAACCAAACACTGCATGTTCTCACTCATAAGTGGGAGTTGAAGAATAAGAACACATGGACACAGGGAGAGGAACATTACATACCAGGGCCTGTTTTGGAGTGGGGGGGCAAGGGGAAGGAGGGCATTAGGACAATGCATGTTCTCACTCATAAATTATCTTTAATTCCTCACAGTTGCTCTCTGTGTCCATTTTAATATTTTCAAGTTTTGAAGTTCACCCTCTGTAAGTTCTTGAATGTTTTCTCCCCTGTCTAGGCCAACTCCTCTATTAGCCTAGTTTTGATTTTCATTTCTAGTCCCTGGATTGTTATAATAGGCCTTCTGTATTAATAATTTTCTTTGCCTCTAGTATTTATCTGTGTCAATCCATACGTTACATTTAATATCAGCTTTTTTTCTTTCTAAAGGACACAGCTCCAATCATGCCACTTTCTTGTTGAAAATCTTTCTTTGGTCCCTGTTGCTTATTGAATTAAATGGAAACAGACTGGCTCACTATTTCCTTTAAAAGATTGTCTTGTTTCTTAATTTTCTAGGCATGTCATGTTTAACTGAAACATGGTAACCTGAGGTTTCCTGAAGTGTCTTTCCTAAATATTCTCTTTTTCTTTTCCGTTTGCAGAAAAACTTTGAACTAAGTCAGCAGCCCTCTCACCCTCTTATCTGATTATTAAAATATTCCTCTTTACAAGTGTTGCTTTGTACCTTCTTTATGAAAACTTTCCAAGTTGCCCTGACTCAAAAACCTGTTTGGCAAGAATTCTGAATCTACATAATAGAATGTTTTGGTACCTTTTAAATTATTATTTATTTTTGCTATTTTACTCATGCGTTTTTTTCTTTTTTTAAGTGTCTATTTAAATCTTCTGTTCCTTTTGTATTTGGCTGTTTCTTCCCTTATTGTTGAATTTTGAGAGTTTTTAGATATTTTTGATAAAAGTTATTTATCAGATACATGATTTGCAAATATCTTCACCCAGTATGTGCTTCTGGTATTTTGTGCAAGAAATCTTTGTCTAACCCAAGACGGCAAAAAATGTTGTCCTGTGTTTTCTTCTAGAAGTATTATAGTTTTGGGATTTTACACTTGGGACTATTGTTCAATTTGAGTTAATTTTTGTATATAGTACAATGTGTGGATCAAAGTTCATTTATTTTGCACATGGATATTCCCTTTTTTAAGAACCATTTGTTGAAAGGCTATGTTTTTGTCCCAGAACTGTGCTTTAAACTTTGTCAGTAACCAAGTTTTCATTTATGTTTGAGTCTGGTTCAGAACTCTCTATCCTGTTCCCTTGCTCTGTTTGTCTAACTTGACTCCAGTACCACACTGTCTTGCTGTAGATTTATAAAATTTGAAATCAGGTAATGTTTAGTGTCCCTAACTTTCTCCCTTTTTTCAAAATTGTTTTAACTAGTCTAGGTCCTTGGCATAGCCATATAAATGTCAGAATCAGCTTGTCAATTTGTACCAAAAAAGTGTGTGAAGATTTTGATTGAGATTGTGTTTAATCTACAGATCAATTTGGGGGGAGAATTTTAACCTTAGCAATATCAAGTCTTCGATACCATATCTTTATTTATTTACATCTGCTTTTATTTATTTTGGCAATGTCTTATAGCTTTCAGGATATAGGTCTTATATATATCTTGTCAAATTTATGTCTATGTATCACACTTTTATGCTACTGTAAGCAGCATTGTTTTATTTAAATTCCTGATAGTTTGTTGCAAGTACATAGAAATGTAATTGATTCTTGCTTGCTGATTGTGTATCCAGCAACCTTGCTCATTCATTAGTTTTAGGAGATTTTCAAGATTTGCTCAGATTTCCTGTGTAAGCTATCATATTATCTGGGAATAAAGGGAGTTTCACTTCTTCCTTTCCAATTTGAATATCCTTTATTCCTTTTTTTTTTTTTTCTCATTTTTTTTCAGGCCAGAATCTCAAGCACACTGTTAAACAGAAGTGGTGAGGGCAGACATTCTTGTCTTGGACCTGACCTTAGTGGGAGAATATTCAGTATTTCATAAATTAAGTATGATGTATGCTATAGTTTATTTCATAGATTCCCTTTATCAGGTTAAAGACATTCCCTTCTTAACCAAATTTTCTGAGAGATTTTTAATGAGTAACAGATGTCATGTTTTGTCAAATGCTTTTCTGTGCCTATTTGGTCTGCTTATATGGTGAATTACATTAAGTTGATTTCTAAATGTTAAATTCTTGTATTTCTCAGATAAATAGCATGTGGTCATGTTGTAGTCTCCTTTTTCTAAATCATTAGATATAATTGCCAAAGTTTTATTTAGAATCTTTGCATCTATGTTCATGAGAGTTATCAGTCCGTAATTTTTTGTCTTGTAATGTCTTAGGTTCTAGAACCATCATAACTTACACAATGAACTTCTTCCTCTTCCATTTTCTCAGAATATTTGTGTAGAATAGGTAGTTTTTACATCCTTAAATATATGCCATTGAAACCACATGGGCCTGGAATTTTCTTTGTGGGAAAATTTTTAACCAAAATTTCAATTTATTTCATGGATTTAGTATCTAATTCACCCTGAGAGTTTTGGTAGCTTGTATTTTTAAGCAATTTTTCCATTTCATTCAAGTTGGTGAAAGTATTAGCATAAAGTTGTGAATAATATTCCAATATTGTCCTTTTAGGATCAGTAGAATCTGCAATTGTCACTCTCTAACTCCTGACTTTCTTGCTTTTTGCTTCTTTTCTTTTTTGCTTCTTATCCATCTGCTGAAGGTTTAGCAATTTTATTGATCTTCTTAAAGAATTAGCTTCTGTTTTCATTGATTTTTAAAAATTTTCTATTTCGTTGACTTCATCTAAGATTTTATTTCCTTTCTTCTGTCCACTTTGGTTTTTATTTGATCTTATTTTCTAGTTTTTGAAGTTAGAAGCTGAAGTCAGTGATTCTAGACCTCTCTTCTATGCTAATAGGGGTTTTTTTGCTTTTGCGGCATCTCGAAAGTTTGAAATGTTGTATTTTTATTCATTCAAAATGCTTTCCAATTTCCTTTTTTATTTTTATTTTTTGACTCATGGGTTATTTAAAAGTATGTTATTGGCCAGGCACAATGGCTCACGCCTGTAATCCCAGCACTTTGGGANTATGCTATAGTTAATTTCATAGATTCCCTTTATCAGGTTAAAGACATTCCCTTCTTATCCAAATTTGCTGAGAGATTTTTAATGAGTAACAGATGTCATGTTTTGTCAAATGCTTTTCTGTGCCTATTTGCTTTGTTTATATGGTGAATTACATTAAGTTGATTTCTAAATGTTAAATTCTTGTATATCTCAGACAAAGAGCATGCGGTCATGTTGCAGTCTCCTTTTTCTAAATCATTAGATATAATTGCCAAAGTTTTATTTAGAATCTTTGGGGTTTTTTTTCTTCTATTTTTTCACTACATTTTACCTATTTTGGATCATCTTTGTATCTTCTGTAACATTTTGCTCACCTTTATATCCTCTATAGTACCATTGCTACCTTTTGCTTATCTTTAACATCTTTGCTCATTTTTACATATTCTGTAACAGCACACAAAAGATGCAACAGATGAAGTATGCAAGCACTGGTAAAAATCATATTGGAAATGATAAGTCAGATAAATGATCAGAGGAGTAATATATTGAGAGATAAGCTTTTTAAAATAATGCAAATACTTCTATATAAAATAGCCAAAATAAATAAATTGAAGATGAATCACAAAATAAAATTAATATTTTAGGTTTTAATATTTCTAATTTACTAGATATTAAGTTAGTCTAATAATTTCTGATCAGTAATCAATTTAGTGGTATTATATATTTAATCATAGTAAATTTCTTTAATATATTACAGTTGATAATTTATTAAATTTTATTTTATTGAACTTTTTTTCTGCCCTCACTGATTTGAGATCTGGTTGAATATATTTTTAGTTGTAGGCTGTATAAATAATCTAACACATATTTTTTCCTAACAATATAATTAATTGATAACTTTTTGACTCTGTTATGTGAGATTTTACATAAACATTAGCCTCTCTCAAAGTTTTCTATTTAAGAGTTTAAAGCCAGTGAGGGTCCAAAACAAAGTAGAATGCTTGTTTTGTGATCCTGGCACCATCAAAATTTAGCTTGTAGAATTCCAGTAAGGAGGTCACTTATCTCTATACAACAATGTCAGTAAGTATTAAGGTTAAAGGATTTTATTAGATTTACAATGTTTTCCATTATGTTTTTAGTATTTGTCTTCAGTATTTTAGAAAATGTGAATGCTTATTTTTTATTATATATATTTAAGGTGGATAACATGTTATAGTGAAATGGTTACTATAATCAAGCAAATTAATGTATTCATTCATCTTTGTGTGTATGTGGCAAGAACACATAAAATCTCTTAGCAAATATCCCAAATATAATAGGTTGGTGCAACAGCCAATTAACACAATGCTGTATTGTATACAGTTTGTGTATTATACAGTACCATACTATTAATAGTCCTCATGTTCTGCATTCCATCTCTAGACTTACTCATCCTACATATCTGCAACTTTGTATCCTTTGATCTCCCTATTTCCACACCCCAACCCCACCTCCATGCTCTGGTGACCACTGTTCTGTTTTATTCTCTTATTTCTGTGGATTTGATTTTTAAGACTCCACATATAAGTGAGATCATGCAGTATTTTTCTTTCTGTCTGGCTTATTTCACTTAGCATAATGTCCTCTTGGTTCATCCATGTTATAGCAAATTTCAACATATCCTGTTTTTAAGGCTGAAAATATTTCTTGGTATATATACATGTACCACAATTTCTTTACCTGTTAATCTGTCTGTGAATACTTAGCTTGTTTCCATGTTTTGATTATTATAAATAGTACTGCAATGAATAGAGAATGCAGATATCTTTTTTTCATTTTTATTTTTTATTTTATTTTTTTTTGACACAGAGTCTCACTCTGTCCCCTAGACTGGAGGGCAGTGGCATGATCTCAGCTCACTGCCACCTCTGCCTCCCAGGTTCAACCAATCCTCCTGTCTCAGCCTCTCAAGTATCTGGGACTATAGGCGCATGCCACCACACCCAGCTAACTTCTGTGTTTTTAGTAGAGACGGGGTTTCACTATATTGGTCAGGCTGGTCTCAAACTCCTAACTTCAGGTGACCCACCTGCCTTGGCCTCCGAAAGTGCTGGGATTACAGTTGTGAGCCACTGCTTCTGGCCCTAGGAGTGCAATTATCTTTATGGGTGGTAATTTAATTTCTTTTGGATATATTTTTATTCAGTTTACATTAAGGAGAATGTTACAGATGTCAGATTTATATTAGCAGAAGCACAACTAGAAAAATATATAAAACAATTTAATTGCACATTATTTGTTTGCCATGTAAGGCAATGTACGAGTTTTTTTGTTGAGGTAAAATATACATATAAAAGTTACTATCTTTATCATTTTTAAGTGTACATTTCACTGGTAATATATTTATATTCTTTCTTTTTAATCCCTTAATTTCCCCCTACTCCTTCCTACTCTTCCTGGCCTCTGGTAATCACTGTTCTACTCTCTATCTCCATGTGATCTACTTTTTTAGCTCCCACTTGTGAGTGAGAACATGATATTTGTCTTTCTGTATTTGGCTTATTTCACTTTAGTTTGGTCTCCAGTTACAACCATGTAGCTACAAGTGACAGGATTTCATTCTTTTTTATTGCTGAATAATATTCCATTATATATACACATATACCACATTTTATGCATTTATCTACTGATGGACAATTAGGTTTCAGTAATGCTACAGTAAATGTGGGTGTGCAGATGCCTCTTTGGCATATTGATTTCCTTTCTTTTGGATATAAGACCAGTAACTTGCTGGATCATATTGTTGTTCTATTTTTAGTTTTGAGGAAGCTTCACATTATTATTCACAGTGGTTGTACCACTATTTGCATTCCCAACAACAGTGTATGAGACCCACATCCTCACTGGCATCTGTTATTGTCTGTCTTTTTCGTACAAGCCATTTTAACTCAGGCCGACATCTCATTGTAGTTCTGATTTGCATTTACCTGATGATTAATGCTGTTGAGCATTTTTTCATACACCTGTTAGCCATTTAATTATTTCCTATAACCCTCTTTCGTATTTAGGAAAAAGTTCAGAAAAAAAGCTACAGAAAACTGAAGACTACTTTTGTTAATGTTACTTCTGAATGCCCATTGTAAGTATTTTTTGTAAATATTTTTTCATTTTCTTTATATTTAAAGAGGCTACATGCATTTATTTTAAGTGGAGCTAATATTTCTTTTCATTTTCACAGGAATGATGTTTACAATTTTAATTTGAATGGAGCTGATGACCCTGTCATAAAACTTGGAGTAAGCTAAAAATCAATAGATACTTTGTATTTACTCAGAAGTTACATTTTATTTACCGTGCAGCTATTAGATAGTATGTTTTTAATGTGTGTCTCCTTATATACTTTAAAATTTTTAAGAAATATGTGATAACATTTTGGATAACCAGCCTAGGTATACTTAGGTGGCTTTTTTTTTTCCAATTTTTTTTTTGGAATAAGGTAGAAAAAAACAAGCAATCGTGGGATAGAAGGATTTCACTACCAAGAAAATCACCTTTCTTATTGATGGAAAAATACTGTTACTTATTTTTTTGTACTCTATTGTATTAGTTTTCTTTTTAAATACAAATGTTAAAGTTAATTTTATGTCAAATCTTATGATTTTATGAAGCGAAACTAGATTTTATGTTTATTTTAATTTTTATCTTATTTTGACACTGACAATTCTTTTTTTAATGTTTATTTACAATATAGATCCAAGAATTTCAAGCTACAGCTAAAGAAGCCTGTGCGGATAAGTCAGTAAGATTGTAGGTGTTTTTATTAGGTTAAAATATCCCAATCTCCTTTTTTTTTTTTCCCTTAAATACCTCCTTCCAGTCTTAAGAGTTTTTTTTTTAATAAATTAGAAGAGTTAATAAAAATGCTAGTCATGATTACTCCCGTTATGATTCTGTTACTTTAGCATTTATTCTTTAAATTAACATGCAAATTATCTTCACTTTGAATATTAGTTGTATATCCTAGATCATAAACCTGAAAAGACTTAGTAGTTCTTTGATCCAACATAGTTATTTTATAACTGAGGTCAGAGAGGATAAGTGGCTTGGCCAGAGTAATATAGCTAATTAGTGAAAGTCTTAAGACTGAAAACTCAAGTCTGATTGTCCGTCCTTAAGAAAACAAGTATGGAGAGTTTTTTGTTTTTGTTTCTGTTTTTTTGAGATGGAGTCTCTCACTGTCACCCAGGCTGGAGTGCAGTGGCGCTATCTCAGCTCACTGCAACCTCTGCCTCCCAGGTTCAAGTGATTTTCCTGTCTCAGCCGCCCGAGTAGCTGGGACTACAGGCATGTACCATCACACCCAGCTAATTTTTTGTATTTTTAGTAGAGATGGGGTTTCACCTTGTTAACCAGGATGGTCTCGATCTCCTGACCTCATGATCCGCCTGCCTCGGTCTACCAAAGGGTAATTTTAAATTAATACTTATTTTTGTTTAAGGGTAGGTCTAAGGAATCATGATGAACTTGAATCTTCTGTCAAAACAAAAGATAAAAAAGTAAGTTATAATACCTCAGTGTGTCTATTAGAAATAGCATTTCTCTTAATTTTTAATGTTAAAGATTATCAAAAACAAAAAAAATTTGATTCTTTTATTTATGCAATTATCCACATTCCTATTAAGAATTTTCTTTTGGTCTTTCAGCTATTTGTAATTATCTAAGAAATGACAACTTTAGTTATTTTTTTGATATATTAGGTTATATATGATATATATATGGAAGTAAGTTGTTATGATTTAACTTTGATTTAACAACATCAACACCAAAATACAAATATCAGTATCTAATCTGGATTTCCAAGTGACTTTCTTGGATAGGTTATTAATGCCATCTTAAATTAGAATGTCAAAAAATGACAAGTTTTCCTGTTTTGGGTTTTTTTTTGTTTTTTTAATTTTTATTTTTTGGTTTAACTTACCTTGCATGACATATAATGAGATGTATTATTTCTTCATGTATTTCAAACATTTTTTTATAGATTATAACAAATCATAAAAAGAAAAATCTGTTTAGCGATACTGAAACAGAGTTCAGATGTGATGACAGCAAGACTGATATTAGCTGGCTAACAGAACCGAAATCAAAACCACAGCTAATAGACTATAGCAGAAATAAAAATGTGAAGAATCATAAAAGTGGAAAATCAAGTAAGAAATTATCTTTTAGAGAAATGTTACAAATGATTTTACCATTTATTTCAATTATATAAAATGCTGTATTGGTTATAAGCTTATTTTCATATTTAGACTATTCATTACTATATACTTTTATGGATAGGACAAAACACTATAGTTTTTATGTTTTTGTTTTATTATTTTGGCAATATGGCTATATTTAAATTTTATTTTTAATAAGACCTTAGGGACACAAATTATGATTTATCATAATCCTTGCCTCATGACTCTTATCACTTGTCTACTCATGGCCTAGCATTAACCAGTTATTTAATTATTGTGAATAATGTACTAAGAACTCATGAACCCAACACCTTTAAGACCAAGGCTTGGACTTTGACATTAAGCTATATATACATTTATTTACATTTGTGTCTATAAAAAATATATATAGCTTATATTTATGTGTGTGTGTGTGTGTGTGTGTATTTTACTACTCAATATCCCATCTTCTTGCTGCACCCAACACATATACTTTTTTAGGAATTTATATAGATGCACAAAAATGTATCAAAAGGAAACAATCTTCTTGCAGATTTTTTTTTTTGGCCTAAGTTTTCCACAAAGTATTTTCCTTTGCTTTGTCTTTGTGATAGTGAATCTCTTGAAGTAGTTGGTAAAGTTTGAGGCATAAGTTTTGGCTAGAGAGAATTACCATTTTCATAGCAGAACATCAGTTTCCAAGTTTGCTAAAACACAAAGATTTTATATGTTGCATTTTTAAAAGAAGACTTAACTCTGTGCTTGTGAATTAAATGTATAGTAAGGGAATCAGCTTTTTTTTTTTTTTTTCAAGATAAAAATAGCCAGTAGTGACCTAAAAATAGAAGTGAATTTTGGCATGTGTTTAGAAATGAAGTTGAGTCTTGAAATTTAGGTGAGAGGTCGACCAGAAACATCAGGAAGTAAAGCAGCAGGATTATCATATACAAAAGGGAGAGGAGTATAGAATAGCATAGTATATTCAGGCAATGCAGTATTGAGGTAGTTGGTACATAGATCCTATCTGTAGAGAAACGGCCCAAGGTGAGGCTAGATTGCTAGGTTTGAACCTTGAAGCAGTGTGTTATAAACCAAAGATTAATAAGATTTACATGCCCTCAGGGAGCTTACAGTCTAGTGGGAAGATGTACAAATAAAAACATTTATAACATTAAGTAGAAGATTAGAGATCTCAGGAAGACATTTTAGGCTGGAATATGGTCATCACTAAATATTTATAAAATTGAACTTCTGAAATTGAAATTTTGCATGAATTCTTTTTACATTATTGAGTAACTACAAGTTAATATATATGAGTTGATTTATTGCCAAGATTAGAGGATCTTTCTTCCAAAACAGCTTTGCTTCCTTGACATGGATAATCTCATTTCTTAGGTTTCAGAGACTATTTGGAAAGATGACATTATACTTGAAAGGCAAAAAAGGGAAGTGGGACGAAAGCTGCTATCAATAATATGGATAAATCTTATTAACATAGTGATGTATGGAAAACAAATTATAGGATATTATACAGGACATGATATTATTTTATAAAGCTCATTGTATTGTTTAAAGATACATATCTGTGTAATAAAACTTGTTTTTAAAACAAATGACCCACAGATTTCAGGACAGTAAGTACCTTTTAGCAGAAGAGACACAGAGGATGGTATAAGAGAGCATGCATAAGTAGATTCAGCATTATCCACAATCTGGTTCTTAAATTGAGTGGTAGATTTATAGGTGTTTAACTTTATAACTTATGTTGACATATTCTCTTTATGTTTAAAAAGTTGTATAAAATAAAGAAGGGGAAGGAAAACTGGCAATTCGTATCATACCAAACACTATACAGTAAAAGTTATCAATTCTTGAAAATCACATTTCTGATTGAGTTTAAAGATGGTTCCAATCAGAGATGTGGTTCATTTGGGCTACTACGAAGTTCTGGGAAAAGAAAAGCTTCCAAAGTAGTGTGTCATTGTGAGGCCAATTCTTCAGCAGAAGAGGTGAGGAGAAGATTAGGTATCAGGAGGGCCGGTATCAGGTGGCCTGAAGCCACATGGACATTAGCTTATTAAATGCTAACAAATGCTTTAAAAACTTACTGTTTTTATTATTTTAATTTAGGGTGGGCGCAGTGGCTCATACCTGTAATCCCAACATGAGACCATTCTGGCCAACATGGGAAAACCAGTCTCTACTAAAAATACAAAATTAGCTGGGCATGGTGGCATGCTCCTGTAGTCCCAGCTGCTTGGGAAGCTGAGGCAGGAGAATTGCTTGAACCCAGGAGGTGGAGGTTGCAATGAGCTGAGATCGTGCCACTGCACTTCAGCCTGGAGACAGAGCGAGACTCCATCTCAAAAAAAATAAAAATAAAAAAATGCAGAAATGGTGTTCTAATACATTAAATGCCCATTCTTATTTATTGTGAAAATGTGACCTTATTTTCCTGAATTGCAGGATCATCTTTGGAAAAGGGACAACCAAGATCTAAAATGGTAAGCCAAGAAGTTTATGCTCAAGCATCCCTTTAAAATTATTTTTCCATGTCATATAAAAATAATTCATCATCATATAATTTTATCCTTGTTAACAGCTATGTATTTTATGTACTTGTTCCTGCTTTTGCACACTTTCTCCTAATTTGTTTTTTTTTTTTTTAATCACATTGGCCTTTATTTGAATTCATTTTATTCTGTGCTTTTAGATATTTTTTAAATCTCTTTTACTTCAGTTAGATAATATATATCAGGCTTCCCAGGGATTTAATGGTAGGGATAAAGAGGTAGTAAAGAAGATAACTAGAATGGGAAGATAAAATCCATTAATTTAAACTATGTTAGTCAAGAATCATTTCTACAAATATTTTATGCAGAGTTTGTCACAATGCCAATTTTATGGCAAATTGCTTATATTTCTTGTACCTCAAATATTGCTCTAATAATATTCAGGAATTTTTCTCTTAAAGACACCCAGTAAAAATATCACCAAAAAAATGGACAAGACAGTTCCAGATAGAAGAATAAGACTTCCACGAAGAGCAACAAAAGCAAAAAAAAATTATAAAGATCTCTCAAATTCAGAATCAGAGTGTGAAGAAGAATTGTCACATTCATTTAAAGAGAACTTGCTAGTAAAGGTAAATAGATTCAGTTCTGATTAATAGTTTCTAAAAGCCTCTTCAAATACTAAATACATATTTTTGTAAAAAATGTCAGATTTATACTTGAGTGAACATTCTATACAACAAAATAATTCTAGAAATTTGCCCTTAGGCAATATAATGCTAAATTTTATAATAAGTTGGCATGTGTGTTATAAAACAGATGTCAGAATCTAGTGAAATTATAACTTTATGATAGTATCTTTGAAATGATGAAGTACTTAATCTTCTAATATTAGGCTTTAATAAAGTATAGCATGAAGAAGCTGTATAGCTGTTGAATGAAAGCAAAATTTGGTGTCTGAAGTCCTTTCCATCACTAGCCCACCTGTCCCCATCCCTGACATCTTCTTATGTCTCACAATGTCCAGACACATTCCCAGTCACCTGTTCTTGAAGGCAAAGTTAAGTATTTATTCATTTGTCTGGCAGTCCATCATCTGTAGAAATAATGAGATGTCAATATATAATTCTTCTTTACTTGAATATTCAATAGTTTTATAACTATGGAAATATATATATATATGTGTGTGTATATATATATACTTAATACATATATTACTATATATAGTAATCACTGTAAATATACACATATAGTATATATGTATATTTATATATATATGTAGTGCTTACAATGTGCCAACTCCTGTATTAAGCACTTTACAGATTTAACTTCTTAAAATATCATAAATACTATAGGTAATTCGCACTATTATTGTCATCCCATTTTACAACTGAGGAAATTGAGGCTCGAAGAGAAGGAATTTGCCCAAGGTCACACAACTAGGAAGTGGTAGAGCTAGGATTTGAAACCAGAGTCTGGCACTGAAGATAGGTTTCTGACCATTACAGTGTGCTGATTTGAAGTCATAAACTTTCATCTCTTCTTGTTTGCAATCTTACCTCTTACCTAGAAGACATTAGAGACTTCATAACTTACTGTCTACATTTTCTACCTTTTTGTTTTTTTGAGGTGAGGGAGAGAAGTAGTCTCGCTCTGTTGCCAGGCTGGAGTGCAGTGACGCGATCTTGGCTCACTGCAACTTCTACCTCCCAGGTTCAGGCAATTCTTCTGCCTCAGCCTCCCAAGTAGCTGGGACTACAGGTGTGTGCCACCACCCAGCTAATTTTTGTATTTTTAGTAGAGACAAGGTTTCATCATGTTGGATAGGATGATCTCGTGGTCTCGATCTCTTGGCCTCATGATCTGCCCAACTCGGCCTCCTAATGTGCTGAGATTACAGGCGTGAGCTACCACCCCCAGCTTTCTATCACTTCTTCCCCCGCTCCGTTTTTTTTTTTTTTTTTTGAGATGGAGTTTTGCTCTTGATGTCCATGCTGGAGCACAATGGTGCAATCTCAGCTCACAGCAACCTCCGGCTCCCAGGTTCCTCCTGCCTCAGCCTCCCAAGTATCTGGGATTACAGGCATCTGCCACCACACCTGCCTAATTTTGTATTTTTAGTAGAGATGGGGTTTCTTTATGTTGGTCAGGCTGATCTCAAACTTGCGACATCAGGTGACCTGCCCACCTCAGCCTCCCAAAGTACTGGGATTACAGGCATGAGCCACCACACCTGGCCTTCTATCACTTCTTAAAGGATGTTTACCATACAAATAGTCATATGCCTTCCCAGGCCATCTCTCATCCTATCCCTCTTCAAGGGAAAACGCTGAAAATATCTCTGTTATCAGACATTCAAAGCATCAAAATGCCTTTCCAAGTTTTTTTCTACCCTTTTCCAGTGTATGCCTGGAACTATGTAACGGTTAAATAGTATAACCCGTGACTCTCAATAAGACCTGTGCTTCTCAACTCCCTTTGTTCTTGCGAAGTCTTCTCTGTTCCCAGTATGTCTTCCCCTTTCCACCTCCTTTCACAAACTCCTTAGTATCTCAAATACTATGAAATTTAGGAATTCTTTCTAATTTCCCTAAGCTGGAGATATAATCTTCTTTGAACCCTCAAAGAAGGTTATTTGTTTCTCTTAAGATGTTTATTATAGTAAATGTATTATATTTTCCTGTGAATTTGTCTTATGCCTTCTAGTGTATTAGAAAGTCTTTCACTACTCGTGTCTAAGGCCTTGTTATGCTTGTATGTGGTAATATACAACATTTAATAAATATTTTAATATAATTTGTTTTATGTGTCCAAGTGTAAATATTTGTACTTGAGTATAATTTGAAAGTTATTGATACATTTAGGAGGAGAATATCCATTCCAGAATCAAAACTTTAAAGCTACCGAAGAAACAACAGAAAGTCTTCTGTGCAGCAACAGAAAAGGAATTATCAAAACAATGGAAAAACTCAAGTCTACTAAAGGATACTATACAAGATAATTGCCTTGACTTATCTCCTGTATCTTTATCTGGCAGTTCATCATCTATAGAAGTAATGAGATGTCAGTATAACTTCATTTTTTCTTTACTTGAATATTTAATAGTTCTCTACTATAACTCTAATTGTGGGAAAATACACTTTTAAGACTGATCTTGAGGGGTATATTCATGACTATAGTAGTTAAAACTTAACTGTTAAACTAGTTAATGCTAGTAACTTGACTTTTGCTAACACTGGAACAATGTTACCAGGATACTGAAGTTTTTCGTGTTAGAAAGATAAAGATCAAATGCTTTAATATGGAAAATATTTAATATATATTCACAAATTATAATGTGAAAGCTTAAATAAGTACTTAATTTTTAAGGTGCCTTTTTTAGCTCAATTTATATTTAATAAGAATTACAGAGAATTCTATTTTTCCTATTTACATTTCATTGACAAAAGTCGCAGGAATATCTTGCTCATTCTGTGGACCCACATTAATTCTGTGGATGAATACCATATACAATTGAGGTTTTGCTTTTATTTTTAAATAATTGGTAAAGAAAAATTCTTATTTTTTGGAGTTCTGGTATATGTGTATGCCTTTCTAGTACAGAAAGTATAAGTATGCCCCTTTTATACCATTTTCATTTCCTTGTAAGGATATTTTAAAGCATTGCTAAAGGCTAAGCACATACTCAGATCAGCCTGACCAACATGGAGAAACCCCATCTCGACCAAAAATACAAAATTAGCTGGGCATGGTGGCGGATACCTTTAATCCCAGCTACTTGGGAGACTGAGGCAGGAAAATCGCTTGAACCCAGGAGCCGGAGGTTGCTGTGAGCTGAGATTGCACCATTGCACTCTAGCCTGGGCAACAAAAGTGAAACTCCATGTCAAAAAGCATTTCAGTTAACATGCAAGACTTAGTATGCTTCTACTTCCTCTAAAGTAGCTATTGTCTTCTCAGTACTCAGGATCACTATGAAATTTCAGATAAGCACTTACTCAGAAGACAGATGTATATGCCCTGATTTGATCTGAAAATTGTTTGAGGATTTATTCAGATTTATTCCAGTAATAAATTTTCTAATTTTTTTTTTTTTTTTTTTTTTTTTTTTTTTTTTTTTTTTTTTTTTTTTTTTTTTTTTTTTTTTTTTTTTTTGACATCATTGTTGGTGAAACATGGTGAAAATGTTTTCGGGTTCAGGTTTCGCATGAAAGATTTGTTATTGCTTTTTTTTTGAGACAGAGTCTCATTGTGTTGCCCAGGCTAGAGTGCAGTGGCTCACTGCAACCTCCATCTCGTGGGTTAGTAGAGACAGAGTTTTGCCATGTTGGCCAGGCTGATGTCGAACTCCTGGCTTCATGTAATCCTCCTGCCTCAGTCTGCCAAAGTACACCCAGCCCTTATTGTTATTTTCTCCAGGTTATTTTAAATGGTATTCTAGGATCTCCCTTTCCCTCCTTATTGAAAGATATGTATCATGCTTAGGATATTTTTATTATTGCCAGGCATCACTTTTTTTTCTTTATAGAAATAGTCTCTACCTTTTAAAAATGCAAATCTGGCCGGGCGCGGTGGCTCACGCCTGTAATCCCAGCACTTTGGGATGCCGAGGCGGGTGGATCACGAAGTCAAGAGATCGAGACCATCCTGGTCAACATGGTGAAACCCCGTCTCTACTAAAAATACAAAAAATCAGCTGGGCCTGGTGGCGCGTGCCTGTAATCCCAGCTACTCAGGAGGCTGAGGCAGGAGAATTGCCTGAACCCAGGAGGCGGAGGTTGCGGTGAGCCGAGATCGCGCCATTGCACTCCAGCCTGGGTAACAAGAGCAAAACTCCGACTCAAAAAAAAAAAAAAATGCAAATCCATGAAAACATGATTGACTGTTATTCTGAGAAAGCAACTCTTCTTTTAAATGCTCCATCATTTTCAGATCAGCCTTCTGGTACAACAGCCACCCTTTCTCTGGTGAACGAGGCACAGTATCTGCTGATCAACACATCAAGTATTTTGGAACTTCACCAGCAGCTAAACACCAGGTAAGAACTCAGATCTTGGGACTAGCAGACAAGCATCACCATTTGTCACTGAGAGCAGGGCCTGACACCCGCCTGGGAAGGAGAGATCTGAGAGTCATCTGTCTCCTTTACANGTGATCTCGGCTCACCGCAACCTCTGCCTCCTGGGTTCAGGCAATTCTCCTGCCTCAGCCTCCTGAGTAGCTGGGATTACAGGCACGCACCACCATGCCCAGCTAATTTTTCTGTATTTTTAGTAGAGACGGGGTTCCACCATATTGACCAAGATGGTCTCGATCTCTTGACCTCGTGATCCACCCGCCTTGGCCTCCCAAAGTGCTGGGATTACAGGCTTGAGCCACTGCGCCCGGCCAAATTTTCTAATTTTTATATGAAAAATTTAGAGCATATGATTTCTCCAGTCTTTTTCAATCATAAAATTTTTGAAGTTAATATGTAATACAATTAGATATGATGTCAAAATACTCAAGATAATACTTAGGTTGATCCTTATATTTCAGGTCATAATGTAGATGTTATTGTTTGAGAATGTTTTGAAAGCTCTTATGGTTACAACTACATTTTAAATTCAGCCATTATTGTTTTTCAGTGTTATAAATATTTTAAATATAAACTGCTCTTAATTTTTTGAAAGGTATCCTTTTTACAGCTTAAATTTGAAGATGTGACAAATTTTTATATTCTTAGAATTTAAGTTAATTATGCTATTTCTAGTGCAGACATCAATGATAACGCCTGCCATCTGTTTTCTTGTGTTTTTTGATGGAATATAGGTATAGAGAAAATAAAAGAAAAGGATTTTATTCAGGATTATGACTGCATAACAAAATCGATATCCCCTTATCCAAAAACTTCATCAGTTGAATCCTTAAATAGTAACAGTGGAGTTGGAGGTACAATAAAGTCACCCAAAAACAATGAGAAAAACTTCCTGTGTACAAGGGAAAGTTGTTCACCAATTCCAAGACCACTGTTTTCGGTGAGAATGTATATATTTTTTTCTTTATCAGGTATATCTGAAGGTAGTAAGTCATTTCCCTATCGTCTTAATCAGATATGCATTGCTTGTCTATTTAAGGCTTTGGGTTTGGTCTAGGGTCTTGGGGGAGAGGGACATAATGACAAGAAAGAGATACTTCCCAGTCTCAATGAACCTAACAGACAAATGTGTAGCTATACAGGAGGAAGACTGTGGTGGCAGGAGAGTACAGTAGTTTCCCATTATATGTAGTTTCACTTTTTGAGGTTTCAGTTACCTATAGTTAACAGTGGTCTGATAATATTAAATAAGGAAATTATTAATATTAAATTACAGAAATAAACAATTCATATGTTCTAAATTGTGTGCCGTTCTGAGTAGGGTGATGAAACTTTGAGCCGTCCACTTCGTCCCTCCTGGGACATGAATCAACCCTTTGTCTGGTGTATCCATGCTGTATACCCTACCTGCCTGTTAGTCACATAGTAGCCGTCTTGGTTATCAGATCAACTGTAGAGGTATTCCATTGCTTGTGTTCAAGTAACCCTTATTATACTTAACAATACGCCTATAAGGGCAAGAGTATTGATGCTAACAATTCAGATAGGCCAAAGAGAAGCTATAAAGTGTTCCTTTAAGTGAAATGGTGAATATTCTGTACTTAACAAGGAACCAAAACAAAAAAAGAAAGGTATGTTGAAGTTGCTAAGATCTATGGTAAGAATGAATCATCTTTCCATGAAATTATGAAAAAGAAATTTGTGCATAGTATAATAGGGCTCGGTACTATCCATGGTTTCAGGAGGGTCTACTATATTTTAAGAAGTGTAACATATAATGTGATACATAAATGAGGAAGAATAAAGAACTTTTCAATACATATTTACTTTTTATACCACACCATTTACCTGTTAAACTTCCTTATAAACACCTAAACCAAATAGTATAATTACACTGTTTACAACTAAATTGTCAGTTTACTTTGTCAACTTGTAAATTTTGTAACTAAAGGTTATTAAAGGCCATGAATTTGAATTACTGTGAAATCTGAAAGAAGTATCTCCATTGCAGGAATAAGCATATTCAGATCTAGAAAATGTGTGTAGTTCTGATGTGTAGGAACAGTTAGTAGTATCTCTTAGGAAGTGATCATTCCTATTACAAAACTCTTATCTGTACTCTGTACAGTAGTCACCCCTTATTCTCAGGGAATACTTTCCAAAGCCCATCAATGCTGAAATGGAGAATAGTACTGAACCCTATATATGCTGTTTTTTTTTCCTATACATACATACCTATGATCATTTATGTATTTATAAACATGTAATTTATAAATTATTACAATGACAGAACAGCTATAACAATATACCGCAGCATCACTACTCTTGTTTTGCGGCGCCATTATTTAGTAAAATAAGGGTTACTTGAGTACTGCAGTATCTCCACAGTCAATTTGATAACTGAGGTGGCTATTACTTGATCAACAGGCAGGTAGCATATACAGCATGGATATTCTGGACAAAGTGATGGTTCATATCCCAAGCAGGACAGCAGGATGGCCAGAGATTTCATGGCACCACACAGAATGGTGCACAATTTGAAACTCATAAATTATCTATGGAACTTTTCATGTAATATTTTTGGGCCATGGCTGAACATAATTCATTGAAACTCTGGAAAGCAAAACTCCAGATAAAGGGGGACCATTGTATGTCAAACAGGTAAAAGTGGAACTATGCTGTTTAAAGTAGAAGTAGGAGATCTCAACCCTAGATCTACCTAGCCTCCCTCACCTTCCTCCCTCAAATAGTCCCCCAGGCAAATTTCCAAAACTCTGAGTTTTTACAGACCTCAATTTGAAACCCAGTTTCACACTAGACTTATCCTGTGATCCTTTATCAATGTAGTTGGTCCTCTATATCTGTGGGTTCCACATCTGTGGATTCAACCACAGACAACAATATATATTTTTAATTGTATCTGTATTGTACATGTACAGACATTTTTGTCACCATTTCCTAAACAATACATTTAAAAACTAAGACTATTTACATTGTACTTGGTATCACAAGCAATCTCTTATTTTCCTAGTGTGTATATTTTCACTTAAATTACACAACTTCCCTATGACAAAAGATAGGACATAATTTCTTATATTACTTGTGATACCTAATAGTCTGTCATAAGTAATTACCTTAAGTAATCTAGAGATCTCTTTTGTATATGGGAGGATATGTGTAGGTTATATGCAAATACTGAACCATTACATATCACAGATTTGAGCATCTTCTGATTTTGATATCCACAGGAGGTCCCAGAACCAATCCCTGTGTTACTGTCATTCTTATTTTCCCTGCGTCCTTTCATCTTTTCAATATCCCACTTTGCAAAATCTCCAAACGTAGGTAATCCCCACCCACCTTTTTTGATGCTACTCTGCGTTAGATGGAATTTTAGTAGTTACATATTCATTAGCTGGGCACTCATGAGACATTCCCCCCTACGGCCCCTTTACTGTCAACTCTTAATAAGTTGTTGGAAATTCACTTTTTAGAGTAGTTGAACCTGCTTACACTCTCAACACTGCTATTAGTGCTTATTTCTCTACAGTTTTAACTAGGTGTTATCAGATGTTTCTGTTTTTGCCTGTCTGGTAAGCATAAAGTTGTATCTTTAATTTGCATTTTCCAGAGTAACTGCATCAATGAATACTTTTCACATGTTTTTTGGCCATTTTGTGAATTCTGTTTTTATGTTTTCTTATTTTAAATTGCATTGTTTGATTTTTCTTACAAATTTGTATGAGTTCCTACTATATTCTGGGCATTCTTTATTCGTTATATACAATGCAAACATTATTTTCCTAGTACGTATATTTTCACTTAATTACACAACTTCCCTATGACAAAAGATAGGACATCATCAAATTTACCAATCTTTTGGGGTGTTCAAGAACTCTTTCCATGAGCTATTGTCATAAAAATTATTTTCTTATAAAAATGTTAGTTTTGATTTTAACTTTTAGGTTTGAGTCTCTCCGGACTTTCTTTTTCATATGGATATCAAATTAGTGCAACATCAGGAGTGGAATCGTCTTAATTTAGTCATAGGCCGGGTGACCACATGGGCCTGGATTAGGCACTATTACATTTTATTATTTACTGGCCTATTGATCTGTCTCTGTGCTAATACCACCATTGCTTTAATTAGGGTCATTTTACATTTCTAGGGTGTTTCATACCCCCTTCCCCACCATTCTTCAGAATTCTTTTGGCCCCTTACTGATTCATATATATTTTATAATTAGTTTGTCCAAGGGAAGAATTGCCATTTTTCTATATTGATACTGATCTTTCTTATCTACACATCATTCCTCTCTCCACTTTTTCATTTTATTTCCTACAAAGTGTGCCAAGTCTTCTACAAAGGAAATTATGTACCTTGTTAGATTAATTCCTAAGTATCATATGGGTCTTCTTTTTGCTATATTAAAAAAATACCAAAATCTTTTTTTTTTTTTTTACAAATTACATTTTCTGGGTTTTAAATTTTTATATAGAAAAGCTATTGATTGTTTTATCTCCAACAACCTTGCTGAATTCTATCATTCAACAGTTTATATGGCTGTCTATACAGATTCTTTTGAGTTTTCTGTATAGACAGCCATATAAACTGTTACTTATGATGATTGGAACAGAAAATGCAAAAAAAAATCTTACTCATTTTCTTTTTATTGTTAAGGTGACTGACCTGTGGAGCATAAAAACTATACTAGTGGGGATCTTTATCTCTAGGTTTTGGTCATCAAAGTAATAATCTACTTGCCTAAGGATTTTTTATTTTTAGTTATGAATGGGAATTGAATTTTGCAGCGAATTAAGTAGTTTAATGTTTCTTATGTTTATTTTCAACTCTTTTTTGAGGGGCTTTGAATAATTTTGTGACTTCTTTTGGGTATTTGTATGTCTTATTCATTCATAGCCCAGACATACTCCAACTAAGAATACTACTACTATAAATAGGAAAAATATAAGTTCTCTAGTACTTACACAAGAAACAACAAATCATAACAGCTATACAGATGCAAGCAGTTACAATTCAGAAAAACAGTTTGTGGAAATTGAATCTCCAAATATCAGAGAAAATCATATACAAAGCAAAAGAGAGGTAAATATGCTACTCTAACTTATAAATTTTCCTTAAACTAAGATGGTTCTTGTAAGATTCAGATTACCGACCTTTAATGGTAATTATGCTATTTTAATGCTTTCAATTTGTTGTTATGTGAAAAATCTGATGTTTAAATTATATAGAATGGCTTGATTATAGAAAAATGTTTTTTGATAGAAGAGTTGAAACTTTTAAAATGAGATTAGTAAGGTCTTAAATAGTGAGGATATCACTGCTGAACCCCTGATTGCATATGTGTATTTGGCACCTTCTGGTTTCATGAATATACAGGTATTTGGTTGGACTTCTTGTCACCATAGAAGCCCATCAGTTCATCAATAAAAATATTTTTAATAACCTGCAAAATACAGAAAATCAAGACAGAATTTTACAACTTGGATAGGGCTGTGATTTGAGCTAGACCTTACTGTATGGGTAGGTATATACAGATTAAGTGGAGAAAAATCAGTAACCTGTGTAAAGGTTACTAAGTAAAAAAAACATGTATATTCAAGTAGTATAACATAAGACTAGATGTAAAAGAGGTTTTTTTGAAAGAAGAGTTTAAACTTTAGTTTTCTGTGGCTACCCATTTCCTGACTCAGAAACGGAAATCCTAATAAGAAAGAATTGAAAAGCAGGAATAGTTAAGAAAAAAATAAAAAGATAGCTCACAGCTATTACAAGAAAATTGAGGTCAACATAGAATCGAGGTTACCACATGGTAAATAGTAGAGATGAAAAGGAAGGGATAGAAGCAAAATCTGTAAAAGAATAGACAGCATTTAAAATAACTGGCTTTTGGGTTTGAGAAAGATGATGAAATGTGAATCGAAACATATTTACAGAATGTTTTCTAATTTCTAATATGTATTTTAGGAAAGCCATTCAGCATCTTCATTATCCAAGTCTAGTGAAGGAAGAGACAAAATGTGGTTGGAGATGCCCTGTGATGCTACTCATGTATCGGGTTTGTAGTCATAGTCTTGCTTAAAAAAAAAAAAAATTGCTGAAATTACTATGACATTTCACCAAAAGGAATTATGTATTTTAAGTCGAACCATCATTATTTAACTTAATGTAAAAAAAATAGTAAACTAGGTAGAATTTAACGCACAGTTACCAAAAACATAATAAAAATACTTAGTGGCAACAAAGTCTTTTTTAAATGAAAGCAAGAAAATATTAGGTATTTTTAATGAAAATTGTAGCACTTTTAACTTTGACTGTTTCTAAGGCCCCACTCAACATCTTAGTCGCAAACGAATGTGCATAGAAGATAATCTAAGTAATTCCAATGAAGTAGAAATGGAAGAGAAAGGAGAAAGGAGAGCAAACTTGCTCCCGAAAAAACTGTGTAAAACTGAAGATGCGGATCATCATATCCACAAAAGTAAGTAGATCATTAGCCTGTGTTAAAATTTAGTTATTTGGAAGGTGGTTCTTATATTTTGAATAATTCCATCCACAAAACAATTTTGTAAAGACAACTTTGGATATGCCCAAGATATCCAAAGTTTATTGAGAAGTTCACGTATGAATAATGTTGTAGTAAGGGTCTTATATACCCATAGATCTCCCTCATCATTCCATCACTTATGACATTTAGGTTTTACTAGAGTATGAATTTACTTTACTAAATATTTACATTAATAATAATGCAGAAGTAGTTAAAAAAAAAGTTTAAAAATCCAGAAATGTTCTAGTTTAAAGTAGTCATTTCTGCCTTAATAGCCATGCCAAAAAGCTTTTTATAAATCAGAATAATCTCATTTTAAAATTAAAAAATCATAAAGAAATTTGCCTTTGATTTCATAATCCTTAGGTTAGCATAGATTCAGAAAGTAAGATAGATTTTGTTCTTAGCCTAATGACAAGGCTAAATTTACAGTAATGCTTATTTTAACTTCAGCAGATTGTTTTCATTTTTTAGTGCCTGAAAGTATAACTTCATTATCAACAAATGACTTTTCTATTCCTTGGGAGACCTGGCAAAATGAATTTGCAGGTATAGAGATGACTTATGAGACTTATGAGAGGCTCAATTCAGAATTTAAGAGAAGGAATAATGTGAGTTATTCTTTAAGTTATTATTTATACCTAGTAATATTCCATACTTTCTACTAGACCATTGGCTTGTTTGATCCTTTGGCAACAAAATATACATTCATGAAACTAACTTTCCTTATATGTGAATAATTGGAATAAAATATTATCCATATTCTCTCTTTTGCTACTACTTTCTCTTTTGTTCTATTTTCCTTTTCAATTTAATGTTTTGGCTCTTCTATCATTTTTCTTTTTTTACTGAACAGTTTTCATGCTGCTTTTCAAGACATTTTTTATCTCATGGAGGTGACCATTAACGAGGGTAGTATAGTGTAAGGATAAGCAGCTGCAGTCAGAGAAATCCCATTTCACTTTGTTCTACTAGCTCTGTATTATACTTATGTAATCTTAGCTTGTGAGGTTCCCGTGAGATATTGAATGCAAACATGCTTTTTAAAACAATTTTTAATTATTAGTAATATTTTTCCACCTATCTCTTTCACATGCCTGTAGGGAATAGTTTTTTTATGCCCTCGTATGAATACAAAATTTTTTTGGCGCAGGTTATCAACCCCTCCCACATCTTGCTTTCCTTTCTCCTATATTCAGGGTTAAAATTAGAAATTATTTGGATTTTTTTTCCCAAGGTCAACCTAATCTGAATAGCGATACTTCGACTCATATGTTCTAGTACATGTCTGTAGCTAGACTTGAACATGTGTTTTTGTGAAAAATGGTTTTAAAAAATTCTGAGTGTGACTTTTAGGCTGTGTCTTTGGAAAATTATAACCATCAGCACTTTTGTAAATACTGTAGAGTGTTGTGTTCTTATGAAAACAATTGAGTAGTAATTCAAGCCTTAGTCAAAGACTTACTGATGGAGTTACACACTGCTCTGAGTGAGCTTATTTATTAACACTTCAGTTTAAATGACTGAGTTTTTAATTTTTCAGTTTTCCAAGTTCTTGGTAATTTACATTTCATGGAAAATGATTTGCTCTTACTGTAGTCTTGGTTAGATTGTTATTTTGTAAAGATATTTTAAGTTTAAAATGAGTATTTTTCAGATCCGACATAAAATGTTGAGTTATTTTACTACGCAGTCCTGGAAAACAGCTCAACAACATCTGAGAACAATGAATCATCAAAGTCAGGAGTCTAGGTCTGTAATAAAAATCTGTTCTGGAAACTTCTGAATGCTACATATTCATATATTATGAATACATGTTCTGAATGCTATAGTTTTAAAAATTAATCTTATTTTGTTTCTGTAATAGGATTAAAAAACTTGATAAATTCCAATTAATTATCATAGAAGAGCTGGAGAATTTTGAAAAAGATTCACAGTCTTTAAAAGATTTGGAAAAGGAATTTGTGGTTTGTTACTTTTAAAATTTTTTAAATAAGTTTAAAACCTTGTTTTTAAAGAGCTACGCTTGGAAAAACTTCACTTTCTTTTCTGAGAGCACATCCTGAAGCTTTTGTTATTTAGAACATAATTTAGTTTTATCTTAGATTTCTAGTCAGCTTCATATAAAACTTTTGAATTATAAACTTATGTTTACGATGAAATCTTTGATGATAAATATGAAGTCCTGAGAGATTTTACTTTCAATTTTATTTTAATCTGAAAGAGCGTGTGACATCTGGAATATTCTTAACATATAGCCACATTGTTTTTACATTTGTAATAATAGAAATAGAGTAATTCTACTTTGGATTTTAATTTTTAATCATATTAAAGTTTAACTGGATTTTGTACCTTACAATTTAGGACTTTTGGGAAAAGATATTTCAGAAGTTCAGTGCATATCAAAAAAGTGAACAACAGAGGTTAGTATGACAGTCTTAATGACTATAATCTATACAATTATATTTATAAATTAATAAATTTCTATTTGAAAAATTAAAATTATACTATGTTGTAGCAATTTAATTTGAATTATTGATAAATACAAAGTTAACTCTCATTATTTTACTTGTTAGGCTTCATCTTTTGCAAACTTCATTGGCTAAAAGTGTCTTCTGTAATACTGATAATGAAGAAACTATTTTTACATCTGAGGTATAAATTTTATGATTTTTGTAGGTAACCTTTCTTGATTACAAAAAAGATTGGTTAATCTAACTTTCTTTGCCATGAAAACTTTGTGATAAATTTCATGGGGAAATGTATTTACTTTTTTACAGATGTGTTTGATGAAAGAAGACATGAAAGTCCTACAAGACAGGCTTCTTAGGGACATGGTAAGTCAACTAAGTTTGAAAATGGAATAAACATACTTGAATGTCTTTTGTTTTTGATTTGTGTGTGTGTGTGTGTGTGTGTGTGTGTGTGTGTGCTTTTATGTCTTGTAATAAGCTATTCTTGCACAGGGCTTCTTTTTCTTTTTTGGTTGAGAGAAGATAGTTTTAACCCAATTACTTTTAGTTCTTTAAATAATGGGAGCATATTTATGTTGAAAGGATAGGAGTAATTTAAATAGCGAGGTCCTCCTACAGAGTAAAAGAGAATATCAATTTACAGATTGAAAAATTAGCTGAAAGAATGATTTGCTTGCAGTGTTTCTAAACACTATGTACTGCAACAGACCTCTGTCCTGCTCTGCCTTCTGGAGGAGAAGATATGGCAGAACAAAACTCCCAGAAAGTCTGTAGTTTAGTGGAAGAATTACTGTCTGTTTGGACAAGATGTCATTTACTTAGATTTGGGGATAAAATTAATTTACTTTCCAATGGCCTAGTAGACCAGCAGCTGCATTCGGCGGTGGGGGTGGGGGTGGGGCTGGAAATGCAGACCTGGAAAGGAACTAAAGGTACTGCTTTAAGTGATAATGTCTTTGGAGTTTTCTCAAAGATGAAAGGCATTTTTAAGTATACTGATCTTTGTATACACAGTACATTAATGTACTTACAAAGTTTTAATAGAACTTCAATATGCTGACATAGTACAGGATTAAGATGTGGCTAAGGTAGTTTAGTTTCAAGCAAACAAGAAGCTACTTAACTAGGTTGATCCTTGTTGAAATTGTTTTCTAGACTTTTTATTTTGCTCTCTTCCTTTAAAAATTAAATCTGAATTTCATTGATTTGGGGATTTAAAATATTAGAGCCTTCTCTAATCTTTTTAGATCACAGAATTCTGTAGATATGTAGATATAGACCTGGTAGAATGCAATATCTTCATGAAAGAGTTGTTTTAAAATGAATCACTAATATTAGCTTGATATTTTTCCTATTTTATTTGATGGTTTTCCATCAATAATGTGAAATCTAAGTGTGATTTTTGTTTTCTTGGCCATAGCTAGAAGAGGAGCTTCTTAATGTACGCAGAGAACTCATGTCAGTATTCATGGCTCATGAAAGAAATCTTAATATGTGAAATCTAGTTTTTATCAACATACTTTATCTAATTATTGTTTGTGTATAACTGAGGAAATAACAGAGTAGTTCTACAATGAGAAAAATGTACATGTCACCCAGGCAACCCTTTGCAGGAACCCTCAAATTAAAAAAAAAAAAAAAAGTATTTTAATGAATAAGAAAGAACTACTATAACGTGACTCCAAGCCCAGACTTTTGTCTACAGAATATTATTTTTTAGTTTTGGAGATAAAAGCTTTAAGAAACTTTTCGAGTTAATTATATTTGTAAAATGAGTTTCTTTACTAAATTTGTGTAAAATGTATTATTTTATTACATAAAATGTGTTTTTGAATCAATGCAGTTTTGGGATGAATATATGTTATTAAAATATGTTTAATAGCTTAGAATTCAAGTAATAAAAATTTAGCCACACTTACAAAGGGGAAGAAGTCCCTAAGTTAAAATGTTTAACTGAGTGGTAGATCAGAACTTTCAGCACACTGTTAGAAACATTTATTCAATTACGGCTGTAACGTATTAGGAGACACTAAATGGCCTAAAATAGCTACTACATTCCTTACATATGTTAATTCAATATAAAAGTCTTACTTCATAAGCAGGCTGTTTGACAAATACTTTTAATCTACTAGTAGTCATTGTAGTATCTTGCTAGATTAATTTATAAAAATGAGTATACATTTGATTTGCTTTTAATGAAGTTGAAATAAATGCCTATGTTACTTGAATAAGTATAAACATTATATTCTTATTTTGTGAACATTGGGTATTTGAAGAAGGGTATTTTCTTCATCCAAAGTGTAATACTAAGTGGCCTTACTATTTCTTGTCTATTAATGGTAGCAGAGTATTATTCAAAAATAATGCCAGTAATTAAACACAGTGGGAAAAGTGGCTTCTTAGTCAAGATAAGCAAAAGAAAACCCCTTTCAACTTAGTCAGCTTTATGCAGTTATTAGCACCAGCTAATATTTATTGATAGGGTAGTGGGGTTGCTATTTTAAGAGAGAGTGACAGCTATTGTAATATTAAATATCACTCAGGACTTGCAAATCCATGTTGCCCTGTGAGACTAATTCCATCATGTCTTACCACCTTGTTTACCTCATTGTCAGCCAAATTTACAAGACTCCCAAATTACACATACTTATTTTAATACTGTACTGTATGTGTAATCCATCCCAGGTTCTTTATTCTTCGCAGCTCTTCTAAAGTCTTGTCATTACAAGTAGTTGTGTCCCTCTAAATCTCAATTTCCAACATTCTTATCACCTTAGCCTGTCTTGCCAACTTGCCTTGTATAGCAGTCTCAGGCCATTTATGCTTTTTCTGTATGCCTGTTATCTTCTTGTCTGTCCTTCCTTCCTTACCCATTCCAGATGTGATAGTTAAAAATAATACTCTCTTGCCCTTTCTCCTCCTGTCAACTTTATCCACTAATTCTTAGCTCTCACCCTACCAACTGAACAGTACAGGAGAAAATAATGCAATCAGGCTTTAAATTTATGGCCATGTACTTCAAATGGGACCTCAACATTGCTCAACAATCCTTACCCTGCTCTCTTTAATTGGCTTTACCACATTTACAGAATATTATTGCATATAAATACCTCTTTCCTTAATTCTTTATCTTTGAGCTGATTAGCTGACCTCATAATTTTCTCATCTTCACCCTAAAATCTGTTTCCTGCATCAATACCAGCATTTTCTGATATCTTTCAGCCCAATAGCAGATTTGTTTAAGAACAATCACCTTATTAGTGCTTTAAATCTCATTATCTTTGATTTTCCTCTCCTGATTTTTATAGTCCATTTTAATTAACTAACTAACTAAATAAGACCCTCCATTGACGTCAAGTTCTCCTGAAACCACTGATGTATCCATGTAATTCTCTATTCACTTTTATAGTGAACATAGCAGAATACTCTTCTCAGGTTACTATCTCAACCTCTTTGCTTCCTTTCCTCAATGTAGCTCTGCCCCTACTATTTCATCAAAACTACTTTTATCAAAATCAACAGTCATTTATGTTGCCAAATCTAATCTCTTTTTACTTAGCCTCCCAGTGGCATTTCACATTAAAACCCTCAGCTGGCATGTATTTGCTACTCTTCTGTGTCCTTTCCCTTGCTTCCTTCTTACTATTTAATGGGGGGTTCATTCCTAGTCTCTTTCTTTTCCTTAGTCAGTACTTAAGTAATTTCATCTAGTCCCTTATAATAACTGTGTTGATGATCTCAAATTTATAAAAGTTCTGACCTTTACTTTGGACATCAGAACATTATAAATACTGCTTTATTGAGACTTCTAATAAGAATCTCAACTCTCAAAACAACTTGATTTGTCTCCCTTGCCATTTTTTCTCTTCATCAAAGAAAAAATAAACTGTTTTCCTGTCTCAATAAAGTTATTTTTTAATTTTAATTTTTTATACTTTAAGTTCTGGGATACATGTGCAGAACGTGCAGGTTTGTTACATAGATATACATGTGCCAAGGTAGTTTGCTGTACCAATCAACCAATCATTGACATTAGGTATTTCTCCTAATGCTATCCCTCCCCTACCCCACCCACAGACAGGCCCTGGTTTGTGGTGTAACCCTCCCTTTGTCCATGTGTTCTCATTGTTCAGTTCTCACTTAAGAGTGAGAACATGTGGTGTTTGGTTTTCTGTTCCTGTGTTAGTTTGCTGAGAATGATGGTTTCCAGCTTCATCCATGTCCCTGCAAAGGAAATGAACTCATCTTTTTTTTATGGCTGCATAGTATTCCATGGTGTATATGTGCCACATTTTCTTTATTCGATCTATCACTGATGGGCATTTGGGTTGGTTCCAATTCTTTGTTATTGTGAATAGCGCTGCAATAAACATACATGTGCATGTGTCTTTATGGTAGAATGATTTATAGTCCTTTGGATATATACCCAGTAATGGAATTGCTGGGTCAAATGGAATTTCTATTTCTAGATCCTTGCAGAGTCACCACACTGTCTCCCACAATGGTTGAACTAATTTACACTCCCACCAACAGTGTAAAAGTGTCCCTATTTCTCCACATCCTCTCTAGCATCTCTTATTTCCTGACTTTTTAATGATAGCCATTCTAACTGGTGTGAGATGGTATCTCAATGTGGTTTTGATTTGCATTTCTCTAATGACCAGTGATGATGAGCTTTTCTTCATGTTTGTTGGCTGCATAAATGTCTTCTTTTGAGGTGTCTGTTCGTATCCTTTGCCCACTTTTTGATGAGGTTTTTTCTTGTAAATTTAAATTATTTGTAGATTCTGGATATTAGCCCTTTGTCAGATGGATAGATTGCAAAAATTTTCTCCCATTCTGTAGGTTGCCAGTTCACTCTGATGATAGTTTCTTTTGCTGTGCAGGAACTCTTTAGTTTAATTAGGTCCCATTTGTATATTTTGCCTTCTTTTGCCATTGCTTTTGGTGTTTTAGTCATGAAGTCTTTGCCCATGCCTGTGTCCTGTAGGGCATTGCCTAGGTTTTCTCCTAAGGTTTTTATGGTTTTAGGTCTTATGTTTAAGCCTTTAATCCATTTGAGTTAATTTCTGTGTAAGGATAAAGTTACTTTTATCTACTCAACTATTTAAGCCAAAACCTAATGGTAATTTCCAATTTCTTTTTTTTTTTTTTAGCCAGACAGTAAATTGATCAACAATTCCTTCATTTCTCACATAGACATTTCCAACAGCCTCTTAAATGGCTTTTCAGCATTTATACTTTCCTTTCCACACTTTTTTCACTTAGCAGCCAACATTGTCTTGCTAAAGCATAAATCATACCATGTCACTCCCTTACCTAAAACTCTCCAGTGACACACACTCTTAACCAGCGGGTCAAGGGAGAATTCATAAAAGAAGTTGGAAAATACTTTGACAAATGAAAATGCAACATACCTAAACATGTGATCTGTTGAAAGCAGTGCTCAGAGGGATCTATTTATAGCTATAAGCACCTACATTAAACGGGAAGAAAAGTATCAAATCAATAACCTTACTTTATACCTTAAATAACTAGAAAAGTAAATTTAAAGCTGTCAGAATCAAAATAATGAAGACTAGATAGATAAACAGAATAGAAAAGCACAGAAAACCAATAAAAAAATCAATAAAAACAAAATTTGGTCCTCTGAAAAGATCAAGAAAACAAACCATTAGCAGGCTGACTAAGATAAACAGAAGACTCAAATTAATATGAGAAATGAAAGTTGGGGACATGACTACTAAACTTTCAGAAGTAGAAAGGATTCTAGGAGAATACTATGAATAATTATATGCCAACAAATTAGTTAACCTAGATGACATTGATAAATTCCTAAAAGCACAAGCTACCAACAGGGACTCAAGAAGAAATAAAAAATGTAAAACAGACCTATAACATGTAAAGAGGTTGAATTTTGAAAACCTCCCAACATAGAATTCTATCATTTAAAGAATGATGGAATTAGTTTTTTTTGTTGTTGTTTTTTTTTGTTTTGTTTTGTTTTAAGAGACAGGATCTCACTCTGTCACCCAAGCTGTATGATCTTAGCTCACTGTAACCTCAACCTCCTAGGCTCAAGTGATCTTCCTGCCTCAGCCTCCTGATTAAGCTAGGACTCTAGGCATATGCCACTGTGCTCAGATACTTAATATTTTGTAGAGAATGAGGTTCTTGTGTGTATTCCATGCTGGTCTTGAACTCCTGGTCTCAAGCAGTTCTCTTGACTTGGCTTCCCAAAGCACTGGAATTATAGGCATGAGTCACCATGCCCAGCCCAATCCTTCTTAATATGGCAGTTTTAGGTAGGAATTTACTAAGTTCAAAGAGAGCTAATGTGTCTCCTAAAATTTGCAAGTCCTATATGGTGTCAGCATTTTCATTGTAATTGATAAGGAAGTATTAACCAATCATTTGAACATCTGTTATATGATACGCACTGAGCCCAGGTCTAAATACAGAAATGAGTATAAATGAACCCTTCCATGGTGCTACAGCTCTTTTAGAATATGTCTAGCAAGTTTTTCAGTTTTCACCAGAATGCCCACCTCAAAACAGAGATGAACTCCCTACTTATGTGCTTTAAAATGAGGATATATGTGCTTTTAAAGTCATGCAGAATCATACGGATTTCCATTTCATTGAACCCTTGGAGTAATTGTATAGGCAAATCAAATGTACATAGACTTATTTGTTAAGACAATGTATTTGTAATGGTTAGCTTTTGTTTTTCTATTTAAAATAAATGGCCATGAAAATATTCTGAATTAACATCTACAGGAGAACAACATTTTATTTAGGGATATGGATGTGTTGAGTGAGATCAATATGTTGTACCATCTTGAACTTTAGATAATATACTTTTATCTTATGCTGTGATAGCAACAAGTTTAAAAGGAACTTGGAAGAATAGAAGTCACACTCATGAAACACTTGCCTTTAATAATACTGATGAAGCTTGATTGTTTACCTAATTTGATGTACGTTTTGTACAAGTCAGATGCAAAGACAATTGGATTTATAATGAGTGTTGAAATTTGGAATAGATTTGAAGTTAAAAGATTTTAACCTTGTTTAGAAACATAATTTAGCTGTTTGACTTCTATGTAACTCATTTCTAAGATGTTCTAGTATGTTTAAATTTTTAAAGTTCAGAGCAGGATCCAGCAAAGTTTGTCCTGAAAGGCTACACAGTAAATGTTTTCAGCTTTGTGGGCCAGAAGGCAAATTTCAGAATATCATGTCAGT